TTCTATTGCCGTCTTCAATAATGAGATAACCATTATTTTTTCGTTATGCTTCATATTTTTTGTTGGGTGTATTTGCGCGCCTTGTGTTGCACTGCCAGTGCTCGTGATGTATACTTGCTTTCGTGCTTGCCTGCTTGCAAGTGCAATGTGCCTGAAATAAATGGATGGATTTCTAAAGTTGTGTGCAGGGAGTTTTGTTGTCGGGTCTGCTGCATATATAGTCGACCATGCTGATCATCTGAGAATGTCTTGCCTCGTATATTTTCCCTACTGGTTTCAGAAAAATTAGGCATTCCATGATTTGACTGCACATGGCCCAGTGTAGGTCATGCAGCCAGAAGTGTCAGTATTCTGTAGTGGAAATTTGGGTTGATGGAACCTCGCAAGTGGTTAACATCACCAAGTTTGGAAAAGAGGACAAACTGAGATGAGAGTGCTTATTTTTGTAGCTGCTGGAAACAGAAACGTCAATGGCAATGTGCCCAACATGTAGTGCATCTTTTTGCGGCTGCATTTTGAAACCCTGTTGCTGAAGCAAAGTTCACGCTAGCCGAGCTCGGTTTCCCTTTATGTCTAGACTACCTATTCACCAGTGAGGTGCCAGTTTGGCCAGCTTTTTGTAGTCGCAAAGAAAGATGGAGGTCAGGCAGGCAAAGCCAGCCCTCGCACAGGGGGGCTATGTTGCACGTTTTGGACTCCCAGGAGACTAGGGAGAAGGAAGTGACGTCAACAACGCTCGCTGGATGTTGATTGGTGTAGTCGCTGATGACAGTATCTGCAGAAGCTGCCAAGACACGTTCATTCAGACCTACGTCACTTCCTTCTCCCTAGTCTTCTGGGAGTCCAAAACGTGCAACATAGCCCCCCTGTGTCGAGCACAGGCTCCAAGTCACTCGGGCAAAACTATCGGAGGCTTGCGGACACGTGTGAATACAATCCTATGAAGATATTCTGAGGTAAGCATAGCTAGGTCAAATGTGACACCTGCTGTCTGCAGCATGCGTACACATAACAGTGGGCATATCACATTGCAGAGGCTAATTGGTAAGCACAGCGAGGACGACCCTTGACATCAACCAATTCATTCACACACGTGCCCAGTCGTCGCTGCAGGTGAGGACGATGACAGTAGATGGCCAGTCGGCTTGTAGAATATTTTCTTACTGCCCGCTTCCTTCGCTAAATTTGTAACAATCGCTACGTCACTTCGCGTCACTCCACTGTGGGTGTACGAGTGCGTGCACGCTGCCCGCGGACATGCTTCAGCCCCTCGAGTGATCGCGCAAAAAAAAAAAAGCACTGGTCGAAGCAGCTGCGTTTACGCTTTAGTACCTTTTCCAGTGGAGCACAAAAAAGCTGACATCGGGTATAGATCAATTTCGCCGCAGGCTTACAGGCTTGACAATGCACTTCTCCATTTCGACTAGCTGCGGGGAGCGCGATTGATTCTTGCAGAGGCGTGACAGTGTATATGCAAAGCACAATTCAGACGTGCACTCGCGGTCCAGATCACCGCTTGTGCTCCGTTGGCGTCTCATACGTACCTGGCGCGATTCCTGTTGAGGCCAGCAATGGGCGAATGATGTTACACCCGTGAATAATGCTGCCAAGGGGCGAGTTGGGCATCGCTGTAGGGCAGACTCACGACCAACTCTATATAGAGTTGGTCGTGGGCAGACTACACAACACCGCAGCGGCGCGTCGTTCGAATGAAATAAAACAATAGCTACACTGGACGTTTTAGCGAAAGCCAAACGAGCTGGGTTTATTTTCAGGCCGTAAATGACTTCGGAACGCTGGCAGCGGTCACGGGTCCTTAGGCCTAAACACACCCTTCCGCCCTGGCGTACGTGAACGTTACGGCAGAAAGCATAAAACGGCCGTAGCGTAGCTGCCCAGTCAGCATTGAGACCTGTGCGCGTATGTTATCCAGTTTCACACCAACGATACCTTCCAATATCTAGGACTGCACCAATGCACTTTTTCGACTGGGGCGCGGAGTACTCCAAAACAAAACAGTACGGCGTCTGCTCAACGGCGGTGGCGGGGGGGAGGGGGGCTGCACGCAGCTTAGAACAGCCCGTAGCGCAGGCGTACCACGTGACTGCGCCAGCCAATCGCGGTATTCTTCCCTCCTCCCTTTCCTCCTCTCTCTCCTTCTTTTCTCTCTCGCGGGGCTCTGCCGGGGGGGGTCTCATAATACGCGGCCGGGCCTCCCACGTTCACACGCAGCAACCAAGTGCTAGGATTTTTAATCATCATCATTACCTTTTAGGTTTCTTGCACTATTCAGACACAGAGTTATGCGCTATAAACGTGTTTTAGACATTTAAATGACGTCGAGTTAGTATTACTAACTCATCTTTCTGAAGCGATTTATTCCCAAAAAAAAATATTTTTTTCAAACCAGACCCAAGTCCTTAGTTGTCATCATTAATCCTCATCACCGCTTTAGAATGTGCGTGAAAATATCGCGTCCCTGATTGGCTGCTGCCGCTTCAAACGTCCTCGAGTTGCTCCGTGTTGCTCGCTTGTTTCGAGCCGGACCCGATCTCAGCAGTTCGTGTCGATCTATACTCTGTTTCACCTTATGATGTACCGCAGGAAAGGCTACAAGCGCGAGCTCCTTGGTGTGGGCCACATCTCGGCGGCACAAGCAGTCGTGACTTAAAGGGCTACTCCACCGATTTTTTCATTGTCTCTGATTTGCTTGAAATTTTGCTAAACTAACCAACAAACATCGCGAAAATAGTATCCCAAATATTAAGTCAAAATATTGTTTTTTCGCGAAGTTATTGAATTTACAGTTTTGGTCCTCACCGTGTTTTTCAAGCTCGAAGTCTCTACTGGCAACAGTGAAAAAGTGACGTCAGTGGAAGGCAGGGGTTCACTCTTTGGGCTGTAGATTTTGTTTTAAACTGATTCGAAGCAGTTTCATGGTGTCAAATGAATGCTTGGGAAGCTCGCTGCAGTACCCGCGCTCCAGCACGGAGCAAATGATCGGCATATTCTATTTTTTGGCTGCTTGCTCGACTGGCAAGCCTGCCTGCCACTGACGTCAGGGCCCTGAAAAGCGCGAGTATATTTGAATGTTGGTTTTTGCATCATTTTCATTTGCCGATTTCGCAATAACTATTATGAATTTCGCGATTCTGAATAGCATACCGGAGAGAGTAAAGGCCGGGGAGTCAGAAAATATAGTTAGTTGAGGTAGCTCAAAAAATCGGTGGAGTACCCCTTTAAAAGCGGCTGCCGACGCTATGAGCTCGCGCTTCTAGCCTTCGCTGCGGTACAACATAAGGTGAAACGAAGGATAGGGAAAGCTAGGAAAGAGCCCGCCAGCAACCCCAAAATAGACCCTTTCCGAAATTCAGTCTGGCCACTTCGATAGCTATCATCACCAAAGTGTGTATCATCTGCCCATGCGAATGGTGGCCTCTTGTTGGCTGGTGAAGGAAGAATTTGAAGATAGGAACCGATGCGGAGCCTGAGCATCCAGGCACGTGTGTATAGTTTGTTTTATGTCACCGTGTCGAGACATTCTATGTGCTACGCATTTCAGGCTGTCATGTAAGTCCTTGGAATGCTCAAAATGCTACCGAATTTTTTTAATTATTATTATTATTATTATTATTATTATTATTATTATTATTATTATTATTATTATTATTATTATTATTATTATTATTATTATGTGTGCGCAGAGCTATTGCCAGCAGTCTTGCATACGGCGTTTTAAGATATGGAACTACTATTCTTTCCAATTGCCCCATAAGATGGCAAGTACGCATCGATAATATTCTGCGGAACTTGCTCAAGAGCGTGGCATATACCTGTGATTTGACAGAATGCGGAAGTATCTTTGAGTATCTTGGTTTACCTTCCTTCCAAAAGAATTTAGTTATTTTGCGCCACTTTTGGGTGGATAATTAAAAAAAACAAAAAAAAAAAACATTCATGCCCTCCAGAGTTCAAAGAGATAGTCCTCGCTATGTTGTACCTCATTCTTATACTCGCTACGGACAAGCTACTCGTAATATTTATCTCCCAAAAATATTGAATTCGCTTCCTGATGCCATTTTTACGCTTACCTCAAAAAAGCAACTAATAAAATTCCTAATTGATTGAACTTTAGCATAACTACTGGTTAATGTTTTTCTTACCTTTTTCTTTTTTTTGCCAACCTCGTCGAAACCTTTTGATTTTACCTGTATTAATCTCTATGGTGTTTGTACCGGTCCACTGTAACTGACTATCTCTGTCCGTGGCATGTATATATCTATATGCATACTTTGTATGTATTTCTATATGTACCTGTACATATGTCTATAATGTTTCTACCGGTCCACTATGATTGACTCTCTCTATCCGTGCCATGTACCAAAGTGACTGACTGCCCGCCGCCCCCCCCCCCCCCCCTCCCTCCCCCCCCCCCCCCCCCCCCCCCGGAAAACTATGATTGTCTATCGGTGTTAGTTTGTCAACTAGGTGTGTATCTAATGACTAACTGCCTCTTCCAGGCCATATCCCACAAGCCTACTTTGGCTTTGACGGGCCCGAAAATATCGGAAACAAACATGAAAGCGGAATAATAATAATTATTATTATTATTAGGTGTCCAGGAAACCGCATGGTCGTTCCTAGACACCTAATAAAAATTATTATTGATTCTTGATGATAATAATAATAATAATAATAATAATAATAAATAATATAAAACTAGCTTCGCGATTGAGATCTTAGCGTTCTTACAGGCATGTACAAGTGGCCTCGAGACGACCAGGGATGACCAGCACTCTTGTTGCCAGACAAATGAGAGAAACTGAGATTCGACGAATGCACGCAGGTAGCCTTTGTATATGTTCCACTAACAAACAAGAGCTCAAAGTGCATCTTCTATCTTTCCTATACAAGCTTCGATTCGACCTCGAGAGATGTCCGAAATGACACCAGGGAATAATGGGCGCTGAAAGGTCTTGTCGTTTTCTTCCCTCTCGCAGATCGCGAAGCGCCAGATGCGCAGATTCCCGTGTCTCGGTTGAGTTGCAGCTCCTCACAGCTGTGCTCCTCATTTAGGGATGCGGCTATACAACTCGGAGTATACAGCCACCGAACCGGGGACCACGACAACCTTCTCCTTCAAAGTAGCGTATTTGACTTGACTGACTTCGTATCGTTGACCCAAAGGGCTCACGCTTCTCATCGTATCACTCGTCTTCCGTAGACAACATTTACAAAGGGAAGAGATGGACCAGTTACGACACCTACGTGAAGCCCGTACTAACGCACCCGGGTCTGCGAATCTTCACGGGAGTTCAAGTAACCAAGGTGACGTTCTCTCCTACAAAAGCACATTTGCGTCGTCTTTGCAAGGCCATTAGAGTGTACATAATCCAAATACTGCATGCGGATTAAGAAAATGCATCAATAAAATCAAGTACAAAAGCCGCGGAAAATCATATGGGCTGGGGATGGGGATCTGAGTCTGGGTCTCTAACGCGCCTAGCGGGTAATAAGAAGACCCGGGTTCGGACCCCAGTCACACCGTACATTGCTTTTCCGTTGTTTTTTTTAATTTTATTTAATTAATACGTTTTATTTATTTGCACACCTATTTGGATTTTTTTTAAACATCTGTATACACATGTTACGACGACAGTTAAGCGTCAGTTGCTCGAATTTTCAGTGCACACATTGTTGATGGATTACGATTGTCACAAAAATGTGCCTCTAGAATACGCTATATCGAAAACAAGATAATACTTATAGAACAGGGGGCCCCAACTCTTTTGGTCCACCAAGGAGCTTGGGGCGTCGCACTGCGACGACGCCCGAATCGGTTTGGGGACAGTGTTGCCAGATGATCCCACCAAAAACCGCTAAACGGCTGGTAGGTATATCCCAAATATAGGCAAAGCCGTAAAATAAATAGAGCCAAAATAGCCAAGACTAAAAACAATTATTTTTAAGCCTTTTATTGACAATTGTTTACACACATACAAAAAACGTTACATTCTCTTTTTCAGCCCTCATATGAGCTACATTGTGTGTACATTATGTCACTTGTGAATTAAAAAAAAAAAATCTTCGGAAGGATGAAAATCCGTACAACACTGACCCTTCCTTCACAGGGACAGCTTTATTGCATTACCTTTCCACAAAAATGCCTCAGGGCGCATCCTTGTTGTCTTTGTAAACGCCGCACAAGCGTTTTTTTTTTTTTTTTTTTTTTTTTTGCCGCTGTGGCGAGGGCCAGTATAAAGGGCTCTGGTGAGGGCGCGCGAGCTCGACTGACCTAGCACGTGACGTGTGGACTGTGCCTTTCATAAACATCTCAATGGGGAGTATTCACTAAACGCCGTATTTGTGGGTGCTGTTTAGAGCGCGTGCTCAGAACGAGCCCACATCAATAGGGTGCTAAGGCCGGCACTTTTAATGGTGCGGAATGCGCGTTGCAAAAGAACTGTGGAAGCTCGCCATCAGCACGCGCTCAGCATTCGCGCACACAACTATGGCCGCCAGTGAATACTCCCTACAGCTCGAATAAAACGGGAGCATCCAGTTTGAATCAGGCGCGATGAAAGTGCACGCGCTGCGTTACACGAACTCAGCGGACGCCTGTTCGTCAGCCAGGTCCTCTTCGACGGAGTCACAGCTGTGGGAGTCGAGATGGTGACTTCGGAGCATCAGACGCACCTTGTGACTGCGAAACGTGACGTCATCTTGTCTGCTGGTGCCATTGGTTCTCCTCACCTACTCATGCTATCTGGCGTTGGGCCTAAAGACGAGCTCGCCCGGCTCTCGGTACGTGCTGGATTGACCTCTCGACCGGGCACAGCACTCGCCCAGTGATTTATACCGCCTCCCGCCCAACTTTTTACGCAAAGCACAGAAATTTACTGTAAACCCCCCGCGGGTTCGTGTTGCACCAATTTCAGATCCCGGTTGTAAGCGAGGTTGAATGGGTCGGCAAAAACCTCCAGGACCAAGTGGCGGTGCCCATGTACTTCAACATGCGCGCTCCCATCAGCATCAACGAGTACAAAGTCAAGAGCGTACGCCAACTCTGGAACTATCTGTGGGGCGAAGGCAAGTTCAAAAGCGGACTGCAGAGAAATGAGCAGGACACGTAGCCTGTTGCGTTCACGCATACGAACCTTCCTATTGAAATCATCAAATTAAAAAAAAAAGAAGAGGGGGGGGGGGGGGGTTATATAAAGATTGTCACTCAGAGGGGGAACATTTTGAGCAGGTCTTTTAGCATCCAGTGGAGTAGAGGCCGCCCTTAGGACCGAAGGACATGACCGGGCCTCGGAAGCACTCTTCATGCTCATTAATATCGGCTCCGTAAATGAAGACATCTTCCTGAAAGTATCGAATCAATATCTAGAGGTAAGTAAACATTTCTCGAGGGTCACTCTCGTTTGGGCGTGGGTTGCTATACCATGTTTCACAAAAAGAGCTTTTATACATCTTATGAATTTAAAGCCTCACACCCAGGTTACGTGGATGATCGGCAATAAATGCAAGCATCCTCCAATTTATGTGTCCCTGCTTACGAAATAGGATTTCAGAGCCTCCTATCCAGATACGAAGAACACTTCCAAGGAAGGATTCGTGATGCTCGTGTCGTGCCTTCACCCGAAGTCGACGGGGCACGTGACTCTTAGCACCAACCGTGTAGCCGATCCACCCAGAATCGATCCCAAGTACTTCACTCATCCGCACGACCTGGAATGTACCGTAAACGGTAAGCACTTTCATAGTAGTTGGACATCTTGGTATCTCCTGCTGAGAAACCACCGAGCGAACGAGGTTCCTCTGTATCGGGGAAAAGACTATAGTGATGAATCGACACCGTTCAACTCGCACTCCGACTAACTATATACCTTTCTCAAAAAAAAAAAAAGTCTCCGAGTTGATTTTCGTGCAGAAAACAGAGACAGCCAACCACGGCGAACAAGTTTCATAATATGATTTTAAAATGCACTGCGAACAATGGGCAAGTGAAACGACATCGGTCCAGTGGCATTTTCGAGAAGCTTCGTCCTTCGCTGGCGTATGCGACACACAAGTTCGCCTGCTCTTTGCGCACCTCGTGACTTTTGTTTACCCGTCATATGCGCCCACGTGTGAGTCGCTTTTCCACGACCTCAACTGAGGACAGCGAGCGCTGCCTCGTCACCTTCTCTGCGTGTTTTCTATGTTGCCGTTGAATTGGCGTGCTTCTCGTTGCGTGCCGATGCGCCAAAGATGCATTTTGGAACGCTCGCTTGCCGTATAGTTGGACGCGTGATTATCTGACTGGGGTTCAGCAGGAAAGGGAATTTTTCTTTAGAGCCATAGCCTCCTATATACTGACAATCTGTGGCAGATCGCTACGAGAAGCGGCCGCCAAAATGGAAAAGGTGGAGCGCGGCAGACAACGGATGAGAGGATGGATGGATGGATGATGGATGGATGAATACGGCTGAGCCCTTTGGATCGGGCGGTAGCTTACGCCACCTAGGAAAGCCACGTTACTGGCGCCCCGCTGCGGCGAGGCGCCGAAATACACTTCTCCCCAGCGAACGAGTGTGTTTCGGATCCTCGACACTGCAAGAGCTGTGCGCTGAAGTCCAGGTTCCCCTATAAATGCTCTGTGCGACCAGATCCTCGCGCTCCCAATCTGCGACAGGGCACTCTATGGCGCCGGCGTCAAACTGCCAGTCTTTGTGAGTATAGAGGAGGCTATGGTTGGGAGCTTAAGAAACGCGTGTCCCGAGAATCTTGTCAGCAGCCAATGAGATTGTGCCGATAAGAACAGAGACGAACCAATCACGAAGCAAGAAGCGTAATCTGACCACGCCCTAGGTTTCTTTAGCTGTCATAGAGATTCATGCATCATGACAAGGCATTTCTTTTTCCTTTTAGATGCGGAGCATCTCTTGCTCGGGCTATGTCCCGCGGCGTCGTAGTCCGCACTCACACTACGCATGCGCAACTCTCCTCGCTGCGCGTGCGTTCTCTCTCTCTCCAACAGCTGCGCGAAGTGCACGCAGCTACCAGCTGCGTCCCTCTCTCCAACAGCTTCGCGTGCGTTCTCTCTCTCTTCAACAGCTGCGCGAAGTGCACGCAGCTACCAGCTGCGTGCACTTCGCGTGCGTTCGCTTCTACTCACACCGCGCGCGCAGGCGCAACTCTCCTCCTCTAGTTTCTTCTCCTTCAAGTTTGAATATAAGCAGCGGTAGCGCGCTGCGCGCGTTCAAGGGGAGGAAGTGGCCGAGTGGGCTAGCGCGTCTCAGCTCGGAGCGTGGAGCGAAAGCTTGCGCTGGGAACCTCCTGGGTTCGAGTCCCCGCCACCCCCGCCCGTTTCGATCAGGATGAGTTTCGTACCGGCACGCGTTCATGTGATGCCTACTGCGTGATGCACGTTAAGAATCCCAGGTTAGCGGTTGTACTGCACTGGCTAAGTTTCTCATCTACAGCTAAGAGACCGATTACCCGTTGAGGCGCATCTCCATCAAGGCTGTATAAACATAAAGAGCAAACCAGTTGACCGCTGTTGACTCCACTTCACTCCGTTCTTCCGATGAAGTGTGATGGAACGATGCTCCGCATCACCCCATGGTTCCCCTCGGGAAGATGGTGTAATTTTATTTGAAAGGACAACGCTGGTTCAGACATTTGCGTCGACTGAGTTCCGTTGCCTCGCGTCGCGCCCTGCCCTCATCGTAAGCAGTCGGTGCTATTCAAACTGCAAACGTCCGAACCAGTCGGAGCGTTTGATGTAACCAATGGCAATCATCCAACAAACTATGCCATCTTACCAGCGGACTTAGTTTTCTGGATACCAAAGCCACGCGTGAGTTTACTTCGTACATGCTGAGCCGCGATTCAACCCCAGGGTTGCGCGACTAGCCGCTTGGTAAAACTTCTACAAAAGGTGCGAGTCTGTTGCATTGTGCATGAGGTCGCCGTTTCGAGGAATATAACTTGTAATATTTGAACGCACATCGTACCGCCCAAGTTCCACAAGTGACAGGAATCAGGTTTGCAGCGGGTGGCTTACATGGGTTAAGGAAGAGGCTTTTATCTACTGCTGGATTGCGTTCAAACCCTGGGTGCCATCTTTCTCGGGCAATTGCTCTAGGAGATTGTTGTTGGAGTATAAGTGTGAAATTTCTATCGTGCTCTGTTTGCCCCAAAAATGCACCCGAAACGTGTTTTTGAAGCACGCGTAGTTTGTGGGCTGTTTTTCATCGTGTCTATACCAACTAACCCAACTCCCCACATTGCCCCAATTCATATAGCGAATAAAATACATTATTTATAGGCGCCATAAATTGCAGCAGCACTGTGCGAAACTGCGGGAGTGATGGCCGGGATCGCCTGTTTCAGACGGCGCTTTCCGAGTGCTCGAACAATACAGGCACACGCCTTTCGTAATGCTGCACGCTGCTCGGGAAGATGGTGTATTGCAACGCAATTGCTGAACCGCTTTCGGCGCTGTTTTACAGCGGGAGCTGTTACGGGCTCTTCCCACCACTGGAATTGACGTCTGTTATTGATGTTGTTGTTGGCAATGTCGGGAGTGTGTCATCGATGTTGCAAAAGCCTTAAAAAAAAGGACGCCCGCCGCCTCTAGCGGGAGTCTAACCTGGGTCCGCTGCGGGCGAAGCGGAGGCGTTAACAAACCCATCCTTGTAGGCTTCGTTCCAGCAGCCGACGCTACAAGCGGGAGCTCCAGGCTTTCAGCGTCCCTGCCAAGCCCGCGCGATTGTGCAGTGCAAGCACCGTTCAGGGCCACACGCTCGTGCTTGTAGCATCGGCTGCGTCTGGGCGACGAAACCGTCCGATCCGACGTCCGACCGCGCAATACGACGGTCGGAGGCGAGGGTTTTCAACGCTCTCCAATGCTACGAAAACCCTCGCCCCCCCAAGGTCATTCCGGCAGTCCGCACGTCGGATCGGAAGGTTTTCGTCGTACATGTGTTTCGCGCTTTAAAGGAGCTGTGCAACGATATTCAGTTGGAATGTTTTTCACTATACACGAGCTTACTGGCACTAGTGGGAGTCAAGGATACTCGCACGCAACTCCGCTGGCCAAGAAACTCCTTTGTTGCGGTGTAATTTCAAGGACAAAAGCGATCATTTTCATTCAATCTCTCCTTTGCCAAATTTCATGACGTAACGTGGGTATCGCAGTACACCTATATGACGATATTTGAATGCTGTTCATAGATTGGACCCGAGCATTGCGTGGGCACTCAATTTGGGCTCGTGATAATTACTAGCTCAAGAAGCAATCGGGTAGTGGCCCGTGTCCAATCGCTGCAACGACGACAATAGCCGAGCCCTAACAATATCTGGAACTCAGCGCGTGCCCTGTGCTTTGCCAACCCCAGCGCGTGGCTATGATCAACATTGGCGGCATATAATCGGCTCCAGATCACGTGGCCGCTTGTTCTGGCTGCGAGTTGAGGGGGTGAACGCTGCTCGTTTTTCTTTAATTTTTTTCTGGGACTTCTATTGCGTGGGGTGAAAAACGAACGCGTGTTTCATAGGTCATTAATGTCAGGGATCCGTTCTAAGCGGTATTTGCGCAAAGTACAAAAATTGTTGCATCGCCCCTTTAAGCTGAAACGAAGTATATAGCACCCGATGCTTACTGCACGCGCTCTCTGGAAAAAAGAAGTAGCAAATGAAAAATTCCGTCGCAACACTGTCAATGCCAAGAGCTCGTGGCGAAAGACGCACTGCACGCGCTCCGAAACAAATGCAAAAAAAAAAAAAAAAAATCAGCTTTGGAAGGACAATGGAGCTGCACAGTCGGGGACAAAAGTCTCCAGGACGTGCGAGCTGCGGCTGAAATAGAGTGCCTTCATACACACGCGCGCTTTTGCTTGAGTGGTGACATCTCAGCCATTTTTCCGCCCAATGTTTTTTTTATGCATTTTGAAGTGCGCGCAACCCGGTGTCACTCAGCTCGAGCCCGTAGCTTTGGCTAATGCATAGACGCCATATTACCGCCCAAGTCACGCACCGAATGCACGAAAGCGTCACGCGCTGGCACATTCAGGGCAATAATGGATGTCTTCACCCTGAGACAGACAGACATGTAGGCACCCTAGGCTGAAACGCATCGCTCTGCCATCTGCCGGCGGGTCGCCTGGTTTCGAGATCACACAAAAGCGCATGCGCGTCCTACTCTGTCTGCAAACATGTCTGTTTTCCCGCTCTTCTGCGGCACAGTGCCTAACTCGGAATCGGGCGCGTGGTACCGCCTCGGAGATAGCGCTGGCGGCTGACGACGTCTGCTACACATTCCGAAACTCGAGATACCGCCTGGGGCATTTCGCCGCATTTCGCCGTGTCAGCGCACCTTGCTTTATAACCAGTTGAGCTCATCGCTCAGTTGAGATGCCGTGACTTCTTGCTTGATATGTGCCATGTCAGTAAGCGCTATCTCCGAGGCGGTACCACGCGCCCGATTCCGAGTTAGGCGCCGCGCCGCAGAAGAGCGGGAAAGCGCACATGTTGTCAGGCACAGTAGGACGCGCATGCGCTTTTCTGTGATCTCGAAACCAGGCGACCCACCGGCAGATGGCAGAGCAATGCGTTTCAGTCGCAGCTCGCGTGTCCTGGAGACTTTTGTCCCCGACTGTACAATAGAAAGTAATGGCCGGCCGCAACTCGGCAAGCCAGAGTAGAAAGGCTTCCGCCATCTATGAGCGACGGCGGCAACCAGATACGTGGCTTGCCGCCGTCGCTCGTAGATGGCGGTAGGTGTCCAAAGTTCGGGACACACCCTTGGGTAAACAGGCCCTTAACAGCTCCGCTGTAAAAAAAAGAAAAGAAAAGCGTTTGGAACAGAGCAGAGAGGAGCGTCTCCATCTCTGAAGGCGCGTTCCCACCGGCGATGCGATCTAGTCGCGCGATAACTTTCATCACAAAAGCGACCATCCCGGGCAAAAAGCGACGCGATTTGAGCAGTCGCTTCTCGACCCGACTTTTTTGCGATGCGATCTAGTCACGGAGCGGCTGAGCCAATCAACGGCGTTCGGAGCGAGAGTTTTCAAGAAACGACTCGCCAACGAAGCCGTTGGACTCACTCATCGCGCACGCCCGTGTGACCATCTAACTTTTTTTGTGATGCGATCTAGTCGCATCGCGCGACTGCTTACATCGCCGGTGGGAATGCGCCTTGAGGGGGGGTTCTGTGGTGGCGTCGATCGGCACAAGCGGAGAGCGCGTGCCGAATGGCGGCCAGTGCGCAAGAAATGTAATACCAAAACTTCACGTTGTGTGATTGCGTTTTCTTCTGTCGTCCGATGCAAGTCGGATGCCAATTATTTTGTACCGAGCACTCTTGTTCACGCAGCTCACGGTGCATGAACGCGACACCGATGCCCAACGACCTCGCCGTGACTTGTCGCAGCTGTTCGCTCTGACTGTATACCGTGGATGAACACAAAACTGCCCAATGTTTGCTTGGTTTGCAACGCAGAAGTTCGGCACGCGTAAGCGAGGCAAGAAGATGCTTTCACAAATATGCGGCTTTGCAGCGATGAAGACTGCGTCGCGGTTGGCGTCCACAGCACCGCTTGCCAAGCTGGGAGTTTCGCTGCACATGCCCAAGTACCGCTACTGCACAAGCTACGAGCCCTCCATGGAGAACACGGAGTACCTCCAGTGCTGGGCCCGGGCGGCAGCCATGACGATCGGTCATCCAATGGGAACGGTGGCCATGGGAGACCTCTCGGATGAGTCCTCAGTCGTCGATGCCGAGTTCAGGTGAATTCCTTGCTTCCAGTCAGGCGTTGGTTTGCTTACGGCCTCAGAAAAGAAACGGCATCAGAAAGCGAAGGCTCTGCCTCCCGGACGGGGGCATTTCTCGTCCTGAAAAGAAATCGAAGAGGAGAGGAGAAAAGAAAGATAGAGAAAAGAAGTAGCTTCGAATCATAGTAGAAAAACCCAGAGACAAGGAGCTAAAAAGGACAAGAACAACACCGTCCTGTTCTTGCCCTTTTTAGCTCCTTCTCTCTGGTCTTTTCTACTATGATTCGTCACCAGCTCGCCCGCGTCCTTACTCTAATTTTCCTAGCATCGAATGAGTTAGTGAAGTTAAGTGTGATTATGTGTAGTCGTGCCGTTATGTTTGGACATCACCGCAGCTGTCATGTGGATGAGTTGATTGAAACATTTCGTTTACCCATGCTTTCCGTGGGTTTCTGGCATAAAACCACTATCAATCAATCAGTGTTCGATTGTATGCAAAATAATTACGCAAGCTTTAAATGGGGGCATCACACAGCGACGCCCCAAGCTGCTCGTGGTACCCGAAGTGTTGATATTCTATAAAAGTCTCTATTATGTACCTTTCCAGAGTGAAAGGCACGCAGAACCTGAGGGTGGTGGATGCATCTGTGATACCGTCTCAACTGTCAAGCACTCCGCACGCCACGGTCCTCCTGCTCGCCGAGAAGGCAGCTCAAATAATTGGACGTGCGTAACAGATACAGGGCCCGAATAAAAACGGACGGCACCTCCACAACCGAGGCCCGATAGCCTTCTCAGGACTCCTCCCACATTCCCGAGTAAGAGCTGTGCAATGAGGTCAAGAAGTGTAACTGTGTAATGAGAGCATTGGTGTTTCCTTCCTTCTGGAGAGCTCGACCCCCTCCGTTTTCAATCCACCTGAGCTTTATTCGGGCTCGCTCGATACAGGGCTGATGAATACACTTTAATAAAGACACTATACGCGTATTCACAAAAAAAAAAAAAAAAAAGAAAAACGACAAAACAACGTAGTAAAAAAAGAACGGCTCTATGCGGAACGTTGTGCTATATTATGTGCATCTTAGATTAGCTTTGTTATTTTATCAAGACGTACACGTTTCAAGCCCCAAATGCAACGTTTCTTACTACTGAAAACCAAATCTTGTAAGAACCACTCCTCGCACCGCACGAAAAATGCGCAGAACTTTCTTTTTTCTTGATGTGACAACGATCATAGACCTTTTTGTTTTTGTCAACATGTCCAACGGTCACAACCAGTGGACGTATGGTTGTGAGAGTTTTCGTGCACACGCACGGGTACTTCGCATTAAGTAGGATTTGTTAATACTGAAGCGTTTGTATTGTTGTTGTTCGAAACCGCTTAGGCCCGGTTTCTTAGCTTACCAGTCGGCTCAACGCGCAGAACAGTAACCAAACATGTGTAGTAAAAAAAAAAAAAAAAAAAAAGTTCGACTCCTTGCTGAGTTTTACTAATTTCCCCCTTTTATTTATTTATTTACAATACCCTCAGGGCCATAAGGCGTTAGAGAGGGAAGTGGGCGTTAAGTACAATGTTTGATACTGCTTCTCGGAATCTGATGGTGTCCTGGATGGTGACGATGTCTTCGGGAAGGTCATTCCAGTCCGCAATTGTATCAGGAAGAGGGGCGTGCTGATGTGCTGTGGAAAAACACTTTGGCCGGGCTATTTTATTGCAATGATCGGGTCTGGAGGAAAGATAAGCCGGTGGGAAAAGAAGAGACTGATTTAGAAGTGGTGAACAAAAAACGTTATGCAGAAGACAGAGACGGAATGTTTTTCGACGGGTGAAAAGCAATGGGAGAGAGAGATTTGATTTAATTAGGGAGACACTGGAAAAACTGGAATAATCGGACTGAATAAAACGCGCAGCACGGTTTTGAAGAGATACAATGTAGTTTGTTAATGTAGTTTGATGAGGATGCCAGATTGAAGATGCGTATTCTAATTTAGACCGGACTACGGCAAGATAGAGGATTGCGTGTACGTAATCCTCTACACGTAATCCTCTATCTTGCGGATTGCAAGATAGAGGATTACGTGTAGAGTTAAGATATATGTATACATGTGCCAGGCACGTAGCCAGGATTTTGTTTCGGGGGTGGGGGGAGGGGGGGGGGGGGGAGGGGGGAGGAGGGGGGGGCATTTATGACAAAATGCTGTATGAGGGGGAGGGGGAGAGGCGGTCCCAGCAAAATGGAAGATTTCGGAGGGAGGGGGGGCGGGCCCCATGCCCCCCCCCTCCCCCCATGCTACGTGTCTGAGAGGTGCTGTTTAGTTTAGATCTATGTTATCTTACCAAGACGTGCACCGTGCACGTGTGAAACTCCAAAAGGCATCGCTTCTGCCTCGGACAACCAAATCACGTAAGAACTATACTTCACGCGGCGTATGAACAGTGCGTAAAACTTACTTTTTTAAAGGTAAAAAAAACAAAAACAAAAAAAAACGAGCATAAAATAAAATTAAAAAAATGGTAGAATGACGTAAAGTATTGCCTACTGCATACGTAGAAGTGTACCATTGGTTTAAATGAAATGCGAGCAGTGAGGGAACTTGGAGCCCACTACCGGCGCACCTTCTAAAGTTGAGTTGTGTTTGGCGAGGTTCAAACACATCGGCGTAGGACGCACAACCTCGCAGCACCCTACTCCGATGAGTTTGAACCATCGCCAGGCACAACCCAAGCTTGGAAACTGAGCCGGTAGTAGGCTCCAAGTTTCACCACTGTTTGCATTTCATTCGAACCCTTATGGTACATACACTCTCTGCTAAAGGGAGGCATTCGAAACGCCAAATATTGAAATAACGAATTATCAAAACCCTGAAAATCAAATTGTTAAGAAGAACGCCGAGAAATCTATACGCCGAAAACTCATTCTGCCGAAAAATCAATTGACTGAAACATAGCACCGATCGAAGAGTGAAAATGGCCACATATGACCTTCGACATGACTAAGAAGCATAGGGCTGGACAGTTGATCGATTTACCTTCCGGTTGATCGACTAACGCTTTAATCCCGACCAAAGGTATTCTTATTGGTTAAGCGCTTGGGTTCTGATTTGGGAGAAGTCGGGTGAACGAAAAGGAAGTAAAAAGGGCTGCTTTACTACTAGCGCATTGCTTCAAAGAAGTAAAGATTGTTCATTTTAAAAATATTCCCATAATTTTTTATCTTTTTTTTTTGGCAGCACAACATAATGTTTGAAACAAAAGTCTGAGCATTTGTAGCGTTGCGAATATGATGGCGCGGACCCTCACTTGCTCCGCTAGTTCATGTTTTATGAACGATTCATTAAAGATAGCACGGTTCCAATGTAGCAGTTTTGTTAAGATGATGGCGGAGCAGAATCTAACGATACACTTTTTTGGTATTTGCACTACTTTGTTTTTTTCATCCCTCCAAATATTGCCCTAAAATTGACATTTTTCAGCACAAATATGTTTTTAATGACAAGCGCTTGGGCAATGAAATTAGCTACAGATGTAGTGCTTATAATTGGTAATATGCAAAAAAATATTTAATGTTGTGTAAAAATTTTTTGTTTAGATATTTTATATCAAACGTAGCACTTTTTTGTGCTTCGAGTCATGGTAGTTCAAATGCCGCTGAAGAAATAATTAAACTATGATAAAATCTTTTATAACATTTAGAGCTACAATGGTTGCCCAAGAGGTGGACGATGGCTTTTTTTTTCATTTTCAAAGTCATAACGCTCCAGGAGCCCTTCAAACTTACCTGTTTTTGACGCATATCTGTTTTGGACATCAAACAGATTTATTGGCATTTAATAATATTTATTGTTTGGAATAGATATACATTGCGATGTATTAAATTTTCACAATGATCTTGCTTCGGTTTCTTAATAGGTGTAGAGCTTAGCTAATTTTAAAAACAATTAAAAACTGTTTGGGTGTTTTGTTGCGCTACCTGGCGGATGGCAGATAAACTGCTGATTTCTAGTGTTCAAAAAATTTCCGAGGGCGGCGTTGGCGTCTGTATCATCATCAATCTCCGTGTCTTTTTACCTTCACATTTAAAAAAATAGATTGGAAGATTTACTATCGATAAATGAATGGTTTAAGTACTGGGTCAGGCTAATAAATCTAAGACAAATAATTACACAAGCGTAGCGTGATATAATGCGTTCATTATTCGATATGATTGAAAGCAATAAACAATAAAGACGAAGAGGAAAATAATACACCCGAGTTCACTTTATGCCTAGAGTCACTACATGAGCTTTAAAGTATCGGCACTCAGTTCCCCAAAATTGGTTTGGGCGCCACCATTTTGGGTCTTGCTCGGAGCAAACGCAACTGCCGATCATCATCATCCAAAAGTACGACTTCCTCAGCATTAGATGCGGTACTAGGAAGCTGATGTAATATTGCAATGCTCTGTCGCGGGTTGTTTAAACATTTGTGAGGGACGGAAAAGCGTTTCCTGTGATTTTAGATAAAGCTCCATATAACTAGCAACCATGATTTTAAGCCACAATTTTAAGCCAAGTGTCGTTACTTGGAACAGGAGCTAATTTACTGGCACAGGCGGGAACAATGAAGAAGAGGCAGGTGTCAAAAGGTAGTGGCTTGTGGAATCCACGGGGCTTACGTCATGGCCCCTCCATGTACTACAAGCCTCTTGAACAAGAGCATGAATAGTGTCATTAAATAAGCTACGCATCAGAGTAGCGACACTTGGCCTTATTGTGGCTTAAAATCATGGTTGCCAGTTATTTGAAGCTTTATCTGAAATCACAAGAAACGCTTTTCCGTCCTCCACTTTAAACAGTTTTCGACAAAGCAAAGCAACATTACATGAGCTTCCTAACACCGAATCTAATGCTGAGGATGTCGCACTTTTGAATCATGACGATCGGCAGTTGCGCCTGCTCTGCACAAGCAACAAAATGGCGGCGTTCAGAACACTGTCGGGGGAAGAGAGTGCCGATACTCTAGGCGCAGCTCATTTATTGGCTCTAGTTCCCGCGAAACTCCTTTTCTCTGACTGAAACTGAAAGTAAATATGAATAATACACCATTATTATAGCTTATTTAGTTATAACAATATACACATAATGAGAGGAGGAAGCGGGCGGGTAGAGAAACGCGGGTTTTATGTGCGACCGTTCTAACCGTCTCAAAAGAAAGAACGCAGGAGCTTGCGCTGGTTAAAAAAAAAAAAAAAAAAGAAAAGAAAAGGCATTAAAAGAAAAGATGCGGCACGCTGTGTTCTTAGTTATTATGCGTCTAATTGCAAATTGTTGTGTGTATGTTTATACAGCCGGAAGTTAGTCTGCCTTAGTGGGCGTCTGGTGTTTCAGCTGTGGATGAACAATTTAGCCAGTGCGGTACAGCCGCAAACCTGGGGTCTTTAACGTGCACCACGCAGTAGTGATACACGACCGCACGCCGGTACGATGCTCTTCGAGATCGAAACGGGCAGGGGCGGGGTGGGTTCTGCAGCGCGAGCTTTTGCTCCAAGTGCTCCGAGCTAGTGTGCGCTAGACCACGCACTCGGCCACCGACCCCCCCCCCCCCCCCTTCCCCCCCCCCCCCCCCCCCCCCCTTGTGCGTCTAATTTATATACAGGTATAAGTATTTGAAGATCGACGATGGACGTCGATCGTCTCGAGGTAATGTAACGTAATAAAATGTATAAATAATAAACTTGTTGAAGGACTGAACGACTAAATTTTTCAATTCTTGGATTGCAATATGCGGTAGCCTATTGTACTTACTGTTGATGAAGAGCAATATGAGGTGACGAGGTAATTATTAATTAATGAGGCTCCATAAGGACGACGACATTAGTGGGTGTCGAACCACAACGTACAGTGCCAAACTTGTTTCAAGTATCGTGTACCCAAAAATTTTCTTCACCCGCAACAGTATAAGGTAGAATCAATGAGGATGCTGCTTTACAACTGTACGTTGAACAGGA